ACTGCCACGAGGATGAGAGGTCCTGGGCTCGTGATGATAGTAGTAAACATGGCGTCAAATGCACGTTAGAAGAAGTATACCCAAGCATTAAAGGAGAAAAGAAAACTACCATCATCGAAAACACAACGAAAGTTTCAAGGAAACTTCTTAAMAATTCAAAGGCTTTCAGCTGACGTTAGTGGTAGAGCGCAGAAATATGCAAGAATTGGTCCAAGAGAGTTCGTCTCAATTGACTCGAGCGAGGAAGTTACCTTAGAGAAGATCAAGCGCGCGTGTGAAAAGTACTTCGCTCCTGGTCTGACCGCTAATCTACAGTGCGATGTTCTCGCAGGTGAGAGAGGGCCGTCTTGTAAAACGGTAGATCAGATTCCCGATCAGAAGATTATTCAAATCGGATGTTGATGGAAATTCATCGTATGAGAATATTATTGATAGCGATAATGAAGGCGCAAATGGAGAAAGCAAACAACCACACACTCACAGCATTGAAGAGATGAAATCCTGTAAGAAACCAAGAATATCTGACAGTCTTAACAAGTATCCACTCAGTCTATCTGTGGTTGATATGATTAAGTTAGGTAAAATCGGCGAAGTACAATCCAGCAGCACTATTATGAAAGTCCAGTGACTTCGATTTGTAGTCCAAGTCGTGGTCTCAAATACCTGTAACTGTAGAGTTTCAGCCTTGCGATAGAAATGAAGAGCCTTGTGGYCAAGGAAGGTTCAGAAAAGTGTTTAAAGTCAGAAGTAGTCACCCAGAGTTCGAGGGGAACCTTGGGTTATCGAGRAGTATTTTATACGCGAAGCAAAGCAGGATGTTGAGCAAGATGGGCCTAACATTAAAGGAAGTACACTATGAAAACTGTTCAAATGAAACTTTCGTTGTGTTTTCGATGATGGTAGTTTTCTTTTCTCCTTTATTGCTTGAGTATACTTCTTCCAACGATGTCTCTTCCAACAACGTGCATTTGACGCCATGTTTATTACTATCATTACAAAAGAACCCAGGACCTCTCATCCTCGTTGGCCAAGGATTTTTTTTTGTTTTTTGTTTTTTGTTTTTTTTTTCAGCGAAATAAAACGAGTTAGAATAAAATGAATTAAAGCAAAATGAATTAAAATAAAATGAAATGAATTGAAACGAAAATAAAATGAAATAAAATAAAAGATAAATTAAATGGAATTTAAATATAGCGAAAACAAAATAAAATTGAAATCAAGCAAGTTAGAATAAAATGTAAAATTAAATGAAAAAAAATACAGAAGAAAATAAAAAGATTTGAAATAGAAATAAAATGCAAATAAAGACAAAATAAATTGTCAAAAACATTCACTTGAATTATAATTTTCACTTGGCAGTTCTCGGCCACCATACATATGTTTGTGAAACTTCTTGCGATTTTTGATTGGAAAAACCAAAATTTTCATAAAAATTGAAATCGTGACTTTATCGAGACTGGAAATGCACCATCGCTTAATATAATATATATCTGTCATGCTCCTTTGTCATTGTAAAAAGATCCTACATTGCGATCGTCCAGAACACCTTATTATTTGACAAGTGATGACAAAATGGAAGGCTCAAGGTGTTTTGACCAGCAGCTTCCAGCTCCAAACACAGAAATGCATTTCTAAAAGTCACTTGGATTTCATTCGATTTTTCTAAAATTTGGAGAGTTTATAAAGTAACTCATGATCCAAAAAAGGATGTGTCTCCGAATTTTGAAATTTAATTTCTTTCCAAAGTTATGACGCTTTTTACTCTAAACAACACTYTAAAAGTGATGGCTGAACTTTGATCAAAAATAGCGAAAGATAGAAAACAGATATCAAAGATCTGGGACACTCTTTTTGAGCTTATTACCTCCTGAGTATGTTAAGCCTTTTTTTTCGCAAACATAGCTTAAAATGTAAGTGTCCATTAACGTTTTTACCGAGGCATGGTCAACTTTTGCTTCAAGGACAATAATGTGAACAACAATAAAAAAAGCAACGTATTTTGAAAATTTTTTTTATAAACTATATTAACTTGGCTTTCCGAAAATGTATACTTTGTTTGTGTTATACTACAAAGCCAGCGTGTTACTTAGGTTTGCGTGCATGGTGGTTGTAAATGTATCCTAATACCTTAAGTCTATGTCCATAGATCCCATTCGAAACTTAGACTTGAGTTAAATCTGTGACATTTTTTCTGTATTCCAGAGGTAGCATGTTGAGAGTACATAAGCGGTCGGCATAGGACAAGTCTTCCGGGTAGTTTAGCATAAACTTTGTAGCACATGTTTGTACGTTCTCAATCAACCTGCAGTGTTTTGCAGTATATGGGGACCATAAGCTTGAACAGCATTCTAGTTGTGGACGTGCCAAAGAGCAGTAGAGTAGCTTCATAGTTGAATGATCAGAAAGCTTATGCCCGCAAATGCGCTTGACTAAGCAAGGGTTCTATTTGCTTTGCTGGTGATTTGTTCAATGTGAGTTGACCACTGGAGATTGGATGAGACTGATTATACCCAGGTCTCTAGTGTTCGATACATTTTCAAGCTCATGTTGACCAAGGAGATACTTTGTGATGTTGGAGTTGACTTCCTTTTTCTTGGATATGTGTAATTTACATTTATCTGTGTTGAATACCATTTTCCAACTGAGGCTCCAATATGTACACAGTCCAGATCTAGATGATGTTTGGAACTTGCAGTATTGATAGCTCTGACTGTATAGTTTTGTTCTTACGTAGTTGAGATATATATTAGCCAATCAAAAGCAATCACAATTCTGATGATTTGCCCTGTTGAAATTGTAGGATGGTTAGCATATCAAGAAGAAAGAGTTGGGAGGAGCCTCCCCCAGATGATGATGATGATCATGAAGATGAAGCAGGCATGACTGAAGAAGAAAAAGGTTATTTGTGTTAATGTACTTTTTTTTCTTTCTTTCATCATTTCATCTCTTTGAATAGCTTATTATAGAATTTCAATACATGTAACTTGAATTTTATTGTTTTCGATTCTGATTGGTTGCCAAACTTGAGTGTTCACAGTTAGAGTAGAAAGACAGTAATTTGGAGCCCAGCACTGTGTTAACTCCTTCTATGACAACTTAGTCCCTGTACCCTAGATAAGTGTCATGGATTATTCTAATTACTTTGATTGGTTTTAGAAAAACATAGGGAATTCAAAAAACACAGAAGAGATCATTACAATGAATTTTCCAAAGTAAAGCTTGCAAGAAAATTAATAGAGGAGGAGCTAAAAGCATTAGAAGATGAAGACGAAGAGAATAAAGAAAAAGCTACAGATAGCTCTGTAAGTAGACAGTTTTTTTTAATCAAAAATTGAAACAGATTGAGTCAGGTTCCATAAAAGTTCTCAAGGGAAGTGTAACTTTGATGTTAACAGCCATTCTCAATCACACAAAGGTCCTAAACAAATCGTCACATTCTAGAGTGAGCTAGGTTACACTCTTTRTTAAACATAGCAAACACACTGAATTAATTTTCATTTTGTCTATTAATCTTCATTTTGATTTTCAAGATTGCAAAGGGGCCTAGTTAGTTAACTCAAACCATCCCCCAACCTGATCCATTTTCTTACTATGGTGTTTGTTGTGCATGAGTTAACTATAATGTAAATGATATTCAATTCAGAGGTTGATTGACTTACTAATATCTTAGGATCATAGTAATTTCCTCTTTCTTGCAGATGGAACAATAGAAATTAACAGTACCATATGCAACTCCCAGTGAACAAGTCCTATACAATAGACAATGTTTAACTATATGAACATTAGTACTTGCAATTGTCTCCTGCTTCAATGGATAAGTTTCTTTCAGTTTTACTTTCTACCAACAAATGTATCATTCTATCATTGACTTTGATGTTTTATAGAACAATAGAACATGTGAGAAAAGCTATCTAAGTGCAGAACAATGTGGATGTTACCTTGTAAAGATAACTTAATACATAATTAACCATATTATTCCATACCTAACATAAATTTTTTCAAGTGAAATAAACCCAATCAAAGCCCAGTGCTCTTTGGTTTTTGTCATGAATTAATATTTCGGTTAAGTATGATAGTTTATTTCTCATTTTAAGTTTCATTGAAGTACATAGAATGTTTTGTGAGCATTCTGCCATTACTGTCCGACTGTATAGTGTAGTTGGAGATTAAATAAATTTATATAATGAAAAGACTAGTCAAGATTTATCTAAAAAAAAAACATTTACAGCACTACTACTATAACTGGGATCACTTAGACTGAGAGAACCAATCAAACTGTAGAATAAAAAGAATATAGTGGAGCCAAAGCAGCGAAAAACAATAGCCTTTCAACATGTCTTTTTATTCTCACGAGTAAATGATGATGGCTATCTAGTTGTTTACATGTAACACCAGGGTCAAATTAAGACTTGTGCAGTCTAGGTTTCTGATTGGCTCCAGTATCCAAATTTGGAATGCATTGTTTTTGTTCTATGTTATAATCGGTTCATTGTTTAACTGGTCTAATCAYATAGAGCAGTCATTTATACCCGAAACAAAATCAAATTTCTTAGAACTTAAGAGTAGGTCTCCGTAAGACTCAAGCAAAGTTGGAAATGAAATTTTTTGACCACCCTTGAAATTTGGTGTGTGAGTAGGCCTTTATATGGGATTCACAAAAACAACAACAATTTGGTCACCAAATGTATTGTAGACTCTTCCACAGTCTCTMGCTCGTCCGTTCCATCTCCACGTTTAGAGACTGTAACAGTACAATGACCGAAAGGACTTATGGGTCCCGAAAACTTGGACCCAGCGTGCTTTGGGAACCAAAATACTCGTCCACAGTCGTTTCAATATTTTCAAGATGGYGGCGAAAAAGAGAGAGACTCTGGACGAGTATTTTGGTTCCCAAAGCACGCTGGGTCCAAGTTTTCGGGACCCATAAGTCCTTTCGGTCATTGTACCGTTACAGTCTCTAAACGTGGAGATGGAACGGACGAGCGAGAGACTGTGGAAGAGTCTAAATGTATTGTTGCCATGGTGGSAAGTGTTTTATGAGACCTTAATTTCCAAATTTTGGAATAAATTAAACCCACTTGAAGGTAAAATTCAATGCTGTGTTTCTCATACATGTTAAACTTAATTTCCTTAAAACTTTCGTCAATTATAAAGTATCTTTTCAAGTTTAGAAAAATACCAATTATTGTTAGTTTGTTATTTTGTACATGAAATATTCGTGCCTTCAAGTAACCGATGTATCAACTGTTCTAGCAACAAGATAAAATGGTCAAAATGTTTTTTGGTCGTTCTCCAAAAGTATTGCATTTCTAATATAGAGGCTTGGTGGGAAGTTTTCTGAAACATTGAAGTTACCAAATCGTGCAAAATCTCTGCGGGTACAATCATCTTTTGTCCTTGGATAGTCAAATAATAAGGCCTAAAATTCAAAATGTCCTAAATTCAACCATATCAAAGCTTCGAAAACTAGCACCAAAAAGATGCCACTTAGACTGAGCATAAAACTAGTGGAAATGTTGATTACAAAATACAAAGAAATGTATGGAGCAATGTTTAGTGTTGAGTGTATGACGTCACAGACTCCTATAAAAATTGGTAAAATCCCACCCAAATATCAGAAAAAAAACTTTAACCAGTGATTATTAGACCTGTAAGGGTTATTCCAGTAAAGGTTTCAGCATTATTCCAAAATTTGGAAATTAAGGTCTCATAAAACACTTGCCGTTTCCATGGCAACAATACATTTGGTGACCAAATTGTCRTTGTTTTTGTGAATCCCATATAAAGGCCTACTTACACACCAAATTTCAAGGGTGGTCAAAAAATTTCATTTCCCACTTTGCTTGAGTCTTACAGAGACCTACACTTAACACCATCAAAATATTGGTTAAGGTTAAATGCAAAAAGTAAATCAATGAAAAACAAAAATAGGCTGATTTGGAATTCACACATGAATATTTACTACAAACCATGTATTAATGTTAAAAATATACACCTGAATAAATCTTGTTGGCTGTGGATAGTGATGGATGCCTGTGTATCTTGCTAGCTATGGATAACGTTATTATGGATGCCTGTATATCTTGCTGGCTATGGATAACTATGGATGCCTGTATATCTTGCTAGCTATGGATAACGCTATTATGGATGCCTGTATATCTTGCTGGCTATGGATAACTATGGATGCCTGTATATCTTGCTAGCTATGGATAACTATGGATGCCTGTATATCTTGCTAGCTATAGATAACTATGGATGCCTGTATATCTTGCTGGGTATGGATAACTATGGATGCCTGTATATCTTGCTAGCTATGGATAACTATGGATGACTGTGTATCTTGCTAGCTATGGATAACTATGGATGCCTGTATATCTTGCTGGCTATGGATAACTATGGATGCCTGTGTATCTTGCTGGCTATGGATGGCTATGGGTAACCATATGGATGTATGGGAATGGATATCATGTCTATGTATGCCTGTTACTACCTGTGGGTGGTAATTTATAAACATACCTATAGATAGCTATAGCTAAATGACCTTAACAACCTCAACACTGAACCCAGCAGCTATAAAGTATACTGTCATGYACTATATTCCCCCTGCTTACCTAGCTGGTGGCTTGCAGCAAAAATTGGAAAAGCCATATCATGACATGACCTATAACTACATCATGGTGACTTGTCAAGATGTGGTAAAAATTTGAATTACAAACAAAATGAATGCAATTTAGAAAGAACTTTTTTGACTTCACAGTTATTTAATTATTTATTTAATTGCTTCAATTAAGGTGCAAAAGTTTAAAGTGTATACATTCTTTGCTTTGTTCGCATAGTGTGTTATGAAGGTTTTTAATTTTCAAGACATGAAGAAAACACAATAGACATAACAGCAATTAGTTTTATTGTGACTACAACCACAGCCATACTCATAAGCAATTCCTAAAAAATTGCAAACTTTTGTTCCAACTCTAGTGACTATACATGAATGTAGTACCTATTTTAAAAAGTTTGTCAAAGCAAAAGGCAATAAATAAGCAATAGGAAATAAATAATTCCCAGATACAAGCCCAGGGGGGGGGGGGGGACTCCTATATATTTGCTATACGGGTATGTGCCGCCAAACAGGGTAACAGGGTATGGTTTTCAGCCATTCTACTCTGGAACAGGGGATATAAAATCGAGTTTGCTCTGGAACAGGGTATATGAAATCACACTCTCTTCTCTCTGGAACAGGGATCTATTTTTCGTAATACCTGAACAGAGTATGGTTTTCAGCGATC